TTGGTAATCTGGGTCCCTTAATTTTGAAACCTCACAGAATGTAGAGGGTTTTAAAATGCTAAATTTAAGTGTACAGAGTGATTTAATTAAATGGTCCTACTTACTTACTGATTATTTACATAAATACAATTGCTTAGCAGATCTTTATGCTAAATCACGTTTGATAAATGATATGGCTTTTCTTTAAGCCATGTATGAGTACATCTTTTAGCTTTTGATTGATGAAAATGATGTCACTGTGACATACTTGGTTTTTTATTCAATGCTTCCATATGCTCAAAACCATTAAAAAAGTGACCACTCAATTTGACTTTGGTTGGTAAACACACAATATAATATAAAGATGATATATCACAGAATTGTACACTTGAAACCTACAATAATCTTATTAACCAATATCACCCCAATAAATTTAATTTAAAGATAAAAATAAATAAGTAAATAAATAAACAAAATGACTCAGTTAAAACTCAACACGGGAAGAGATTCAAAAACAAAAGAATATCAAATTAAAAAGAATCTAATTTTGTTCTATTGCTAGCCTTTACATTTGTAAATGAAGATCTCTCTGACTGAAAACACCTTCCACAGACTGCAGAAGTATCTGTAAAACCTCATTTTCTCCCTTCCAAGGGAGAACGTGAACTTCCACCTCGATCTGGAGCACCCTGACCCCAGTCCTATACTACTCCTGACTTCCCATCCTAAATCTGCTCCCCAAGTCCAGTCATTTCAGTTCCTATCACTACTAGAACACTCTCATAAAATATCCTTGTAACAATACACAACAGTATGAATTATTTCTATTCAATGCAAATTAATCAAGGAAGACCATTACAGAATCAGAGAGCTAAAAGAGTCAGGACAACCACTTAGGACGTTTCACAGATGGAGCAGCTGCAGCCCAGAAAGGTCCGGCGAGGCCGAAGTCCTGCAGCCAGTCGACCACAGAGGTGGCACAGGATGAATGCCTGCCTTCTGACTCAGCGGGCGTCAGGGCTAGCTCCAAAGGGGCTTGTTATTTGCAGTGTTCCTGAAGTATGTTCTTAAGAAATTTTAGCTCCATCGTGATAACAGCTCATAGCTGTTTGGAGAGGAGGGGGGGAATTCCCCAAATAACATTGCAAATAATTAATTGAGTTAAACAAGCTAATAGAACTTCTGCTGCTTGACGGACTTATCAGGACCTTTAATATTTATCGTCTCTTGCATAACTGCAAAAGAAACTACAGTCAACAACGTTCTCCAGACATTTTAAATCTTTTGTTTTCAAAGCGTTTTATGGGTAAAGTGCTCCATAAAGTACAATTTGGGGAATGTGATGGCTAATATATGCTGTATAAATTACTTATGACTTTTAGATCTTAAGACTTTTTGTTTTTTATGTGTCAGCATAAACACAAAGCCAGACGCGTGAACCAATGAGAATTAGTTCAAAGATACACCATAAAAAACAAATTTATAGTCTATAAAACATAACAAGCACTTTTTACGATGGTTATATATTGGTTGCCTACCATTTGCTCTAACTTCTACACAACAGGGAGAATTCCAGTGCAATTTAACAAGTTGAAGAAACGGTGGGTATATAGCAGATTACAAAATCAGTAGAATTCTTGGCTTTAGTTCAACTGTGCTGGAAAATAGGCAATAAATTAGCAATAGGGTCAAGAAAGTACAATCAAAAGTGTCAGCAACAAAATCAGGCTTATGCTGGAAGAAATGTATGGGAGCGAGAAAGCATGAAGGTCACGGACTTCAGGCAAGCCTGAAAGTGAACTTTAGCCCAGGAGGCCTCTGAGTTACAGCCCGTGGAAGAGACTCCCGAGATTCTGCAGTCTCTGTGGGTGTTAATACGGCAGGAAGGGACGGCAGTTCGTCAGGCTCCCTATGGAGGTCGCTGTCTATAAGCCCACCAGGTGCTAGCTGTTGTGGAATAAGTGCGCCCCAGCCTTCCTGGGAGCACAGACCTTGACCTTGTCTAGGTACGTGGTAGCTCTGTAGCCAGCGGGCTTTCACAAAGCCCAAAAGACAGAACTGCTGGCTGAGGCCATTAGAGACTGTCTATGAGTCTGAGTCTCTGTAGGAGGACGGGATCGATGGATCCACTCAATAACCCTCTCCTGCTGGGGAAGCAGCTTCTTCCGTGGAGGTTAAAGCTGGGCTATTTCCCTTCTGTCGGGAGAGTGATTTTCCCACTTTTAAAAAGACAGTTCATATTATTAAAAAGTAATGCTGCTTTATAGGCATTTCCTCCCTCCAAACCTAACATGCAATGCCCTAGTTATAACTGATCCTTTAACAGCAGAGAACACACAAGGGGACGTGAGAAGAGTCTTATTTAAAGGGCCAGGGTAGCACTGCCATGCATTCCACAGATGGACCATGTAACAGCACTGCAAAACGCTGACAACGTCCTAGTAAGAACTAGGACCAGAGTTTGAGGTGGGCACTGCAAAGAGCATAAAACGGCTTCCTCACAGCCAACGTGTTTTAGGTTTGCAGGGCGAGGGAACAGAGAGCTGAAGGAATCAGTAACGGGAAGGAAGAGAAACACAGGTCTAGGAGAGCAAGGCAAGAGAGGGAATGTCTTCTTTCCCACAGTAAACACAGCCCTCCCATTCAGAAAAATTTAACCCATTTTCTCCATTAAAAATGATGTATAAAGGACACACGGACAGAGTCAAATGGGTAGGATCGAGGGTTAGGAAGTGGGGGTAGGTAGAACGGGGAGGGCTGGGGGTGGGGACAAATGGAGACAATTGTACTTGAATAACAATTTTAAAAAAGTGAAAAAAGCCCTGGCTGGCATAGCTCAGTGGATTGACCTCGGGCTGCGAACCAAAGTGTTGCAAGTTTGGTTCCCAGTCAGGGCACATGCCTGGGTTGCAGGCCACGGCCCCCAGCAACTGCACATTGATATTTCTTTCTCTCTTTTTCCCTCCCTTCCTTCTCTAAAAAATAAATAAATAAAATCTTTTTTTAAGTGAAAAAAATGATTAATATATGAAATTTAAAAGATAAGTGCAAAGAAGATAAGTATTTATTACTCCAGCCTCCATCACAAAAATGCTGGTGTATCTCCTTCTAGACTTTTGAGTATATCTGTGTATACCAGGCTTATATAGTTTATTTCTTCTGAAGAATTGGGACCATACCTATAGATTGTTTGTGACCTTATATTTTTAGTCAACGACATGCTATGAGCATCTTTCTATCTCTATAAAACAACCCTGGCTGCCCCGTCTGTGAGGGCGTTGAGACACCAGGGGAGGAGTGCAGACTCCGGGGTCAGGCCAGTTAGGATTCAAGTCTCAGATTGGCTGCTTTCTACCATGTGACCCTCAGGGAGTTCTTTGGCTTCTCTAAGCTTCAGGTTTCTTACCTGTGTAACGGAGAAGACCACTTACACCTACTCCATAGGCTGTTGCTAGTATTAATGAGACAATGCATGTAAAATGCTTAACAAATACCTGATAGATGGCTCGGACTTTGGAATAAGGCAGCTGTTAGTATTATGTGGCTATGGACTCTTCTGCCATATGATTCTGTTACATTAAAAACATCTAGTCCCTCGACTGTGGGGCGTTTTGGTTATTTCTAATTTTTTAAAGCTTTCTATTTTGAAATCATTGTCGACTCCCAGGAAGTTACAAAAACCATACAGAGAAGTCCCGAGCACCCTGCACCCAGGTCCCCACAGTGGTGATGTCTCGCATAACTACGGCATAGCATCGAAACCAGGGAACTGATATTGGGAGAGCCGACAGCTTTTACCCAGATCTCACCAGTTCCACATGCTCTTATTTGTGTACACGTGTGTAAATATAGGTCAATGTGATTTTATCACACGTGTAGATTCATGAACCACCACCAGAATCAGGAGACAGAACTGTCCATCACCACCAAGTCCCTCTTTCTAACCCTTAAAATCACACCCATACTTTTCCCCTCCCTTTCCTCCTTGTCTGTAACCCAACAGTCACTAATCTCTTCCCCCCTCTCTAATTTTATCACTTCAAAACTGTTAGTAAGTGGAATCATACACTATGTAATCTTTCGAGATTGACTTTTTAGTCAGCACAATGCCCTTGAGATCCCCTCAACTTCTTGTGCATAACCACAGTCTGCTCCTTTTCATTGCTGAGTAGTATTCCATTGTAAGGATATACCATAGTTTGTTTAACCATTCACCTGTTAAAGAACATTAGCGTTGTTCCAGTTTTTGGCTAATACACATAAACTTGCTCTGAACATTTGTGTACAGTTTGGTTTTTGTGGACTTCAGTTAATATTTTCTGTGGGACAAAGGCCCAGGAATGTGAATGAACATTGGGTTCATGGTGTGTTTATTTTTATATAAAATTTCCAGACTGCTATACACAGTGGCTGTACCATCTTGCATCGCCTCCAGCAATGAATGAGAGAGCCAGTTTCTCCATATTCTCACCAGCAGTTGGTGCTGTTGGTACTTTTTTTAGTGTTAGTGATTCTTACAGGTGTGTGGTAATAGCATGGTTTTAATTTGCAATTCCTAATGGCTAATGAAGTTGAACATCTATTTCTAATTTTTGATGTGATAAGCAATGCTACAATGCATATCTTTACTTGAATAAATTTTAATTCCTACAAATATTTTCTTTAAAGCGGAGTTACTAAATAGGCAGATTTTTTTAAGTTGAAACATAATATCATAGCGTACTCCAGAATAGTAGCAATTTGCATCCCCATCGGCAGAATATAAATTGCTCAACTCTTAAATTATACCTAATGCTCTCACTATTTCCCCTAATAGTAATGTTAAAAACAAAAAACAAAAAAACTTTTTGCCAGGACACTCCTACTCCCAGGGACATAAAATAAAATAAAACTTGGGTTGCCTAAAATCTCATAGATCAGCAAATTACCCTACTAAGGTCCCCTCTCCAAGGACAGAATACATTCAGACACGCATTTAACATTTCCATCGGACACCTTAGGGAGAAAGCAAGCTCACTCACCTTTGTGGGCGATATGACACAGGTCTTCCTGCATTTTAGAAAACTCGGATGAGGTTTCAGAGCCGTCAGAATAGTTTTTCTCTTCTCCAAAGTCTAGCGTTGACAAATTAGGGTTGGAAGAGTGCAGTCTTTGTGGGCCAGAAAAAGGTTTAGGGACCTGAAGTGATACCAAAAGGAGATATTACTTTTCAGATGCAAATTACTTAGAATATTTATAGGTTTCTAAGATTGGAAAGTAGTAGGAAAAGGACGATATGTAGGGAAGTCTTTCTGTTGAATGATTACTTATAAGGAAAATAAATGAAAACTCAGGAAAGCACTTTCTACTGCAAGCTGTACCGACTTCTTGCAAAAATAAAAATGGGTGAGAAATTGCCTACGAGCAATCAGTCGTTGTCTGCGGGGATATGTTAAAAGACCACCTCCCCACCCCCCGCCCGGGGAACGCCTGAAACCTCGAACAGCACTGAATCATCTGGGCATGCAATTTAAAGCTTATGAATTGTTTATTTCTGGCATTTTCTATTTAATATTTTTGGACCATAGGAAATAAACTAGGGGGAGTAAAACTGCAGTTGAGGGGAGACTGCTGTATTCTTGACAAATAACAGAAGCACTGAAGCTACAGGCTGAAAATGGCCACCCAAGCTGCCGCGTTCTTTCTCAGTTCCACTCAACTCCTTCCTCCCCGCAACGGTCATCCAGGGTCTGGGTTGTTAGAGTGGGTAGGATTTAAAACATGTGTGTATGTTTTTAATTTGCCCCTGGTGCTTCTACAAAATGATCTAATTTCTCACATATTTCTACAGAAATCACTCTTGTATTTACTTCAGCCCATAAACTGCTTCGAACCAAAGAGTCTACAAGAATATGACAGATGACGTCTCTGTAACTTTCTGGTTTATTCCTAATGATGTTGCAGTTTAACATGCAATGGCCAAGCTGCAGATCTCGGCCTTTGGCTGAGCCGGTATTGGGAAAGCCAGCAGTTAGTGTGGCACAGTAAACATCTGATGGGAAATTGGAGACAAGAGGCAAAAGAGCATTTGCACATCACGTACCCAGAAACTCCAGCTCAGAGGGCTGAGGAATCCACTGAGCAGCAGCAGAAGGGGCGGATCAGAGCGCCTACTCAAGCAGGGGCGCGGCAGGCAGGCTCAGCATGAAAGGAGAAACCCAAGTCCTAGAAATGGCTATATCCCTCCAACCTCACACTATTTTCCCTTACCCAATACCCACTGCATACCTACTGTAGTGTCCAGAAAAATTTAAGAGATTGAAGTCATCTCTCTGCACAGGGTATTTGAGAGAATAACTAGAATGCCCACTTGTCTATTCTCCTACTTGAGTTCAAATAACCCCTAGCACTCGGGGTGTAGAGAAGAATCCAGCCCGTTGGGGAGGCAGTGGTTACCTGTAGTGTTCCTTTGGCATCTTTGCCAATAGCTCTGGACCGCCACCTCCTGTGTGATCTTTTCTCCTTTTTGGGACTTTCAAAAGCTCCACCCTTTGTTTCAAAATGGGAAAGAGAGCACAGACAGTAAAGTCCACCACAGCAACAGGGGAAAACACACAGCAAAGTGACGACTTCCATCCCCTTGAACTTGCCAAAGCATCTGACCAGACAACACCCCGCTGTTAGCGAAAGGCAGCGAGGAGAAAGGAAGGCAGAAGAGACTCGGAATGCAAATGGAGGAGGGCTCTGGCTAACCTGGATGGCGTTGATAGCTGGCGCCGAATATGTCCGATGCAGGACATCCATACTTTGGAGGAGCTGGCTCATTTCTAGCAGGTAGGAGTGACAGTGTGCCAGGTCTGTGGGGGGAAAGCAAAGGGCAATGCAGGAGCACTTAACTTGACATTCAGGTTTCACTGTGTAGCTAGCACCAGCTACTTTTCTCATTTACCTATATTTGATGTACATCTGTAAGGACAGGAAATTTGACTTCCTTTTTTTACAGAAGAGGCAACAGACTGTTGTGGATAAAGGCATGGGTCTCGAGAATCAGGCTGCTTTCTTTTGAATCCACTTAATGAACTGTGAGTCTCGGGCACATTACAGAACTGCTTTGTGCTTCAGTTTCCCCATTGGGAAATGCGGACAATTATACACCTAGCTCTAGATAATTAACCTAACTCACAGGATGGTTGGGAGTTAAAGGAGCTAATGTATGCAGTGTGCTTTTAGAGTGCTGGCACATTGTAAGCACAAATCGTCACCATCATTTCTAATGTCACAGTAACAGGGTGTCACTGTCCACTTATTAGGACCCGGAACAAGTTACATTAGTGAAGGTTGCACTGGCCTTAAAGATAACTTGGTGGACCATGGACCTGCATGAGGACCCTGATGATCCTCTGCAGATCGACCTAACAAGAGCTAACAGTATTCTCAAACCAGTTCCTGGGTCACTAACTCAAGAACAGTCCTCAGTTTGCTGTTCACTGGGCAGCAGTAGCTCTTTCTGCCATGGAGTCAAAGTCCAAATGCATTAAGATCATGCCAACCAAACACTGGTGTCATCAGAATCACTTGGAGAACCTGCTAAGCCTATTAACAGGTCATTGGGATGCCTGGGCTGTACACAACCTCGGGGGAAGATGTGAAACTCTACAAGGAAAGTGTCACGAAGTGCAGACTGAATAAGCAAAACATGCAGGGAAACGCAGTCCAGTGCTGGGGAAGGAGGTAAGCAGGAGCTAAGTTCACCTGAGGTGTAAGCACACGAGCAGTGTAACCTCAGAGCCGTGACGGACAGCAGCAGAGGTTGCAGGTCACTCTACCTTTTGAGCATTGCTCCATGTCCTCCGAAGACTGCAGCCACGAAGGAACTCGTGCCTCCCCGCCACAAGGATGGGACAAATTGCTGCCAGTCTGAAGCGAATTCTGCTTTGATATACTGCTACGCTGTTCCACGGAACACAAAAACACGTTGTAAGGGAAAAGACCCCCGTGCGGACACGTTAGGGTAAAAGGGTACCACCGTGGGCCAGTCGCTCTTGGGATCCCTCTTCCTGTAACTGGAAAGAAGCTTCTAGCAAAGCAGTCCTCTGAAGAACTTAGCTCGGCCTGTCGCCCCAGCTTGGCCATACCATGCTCGGTGGCCTTGGACTAAAGTCCTTCATGTCTTCTTCTGTCAAGTGATAATCATATCAAAATAATGACATACATGCTGGGAGATTTTGCAATCCTGTATAGCCACAAATGTCCCTGCTGCATTTCACAACCAGACAAGAAAACCAAAGTCAAACTGGTCAGGAGAAAGCTGGAGCGTTCAGGGCTGATAAACCTCTCTTTTCACGCTCTGCTTCAGTCACGGTCCCAGAGAAGACAGATGCTCCGCAGACCCGGCTCCGACTGGCTGGGCAAACAGGCCCATTGAAACCAGCTCAAGCTCACCTGCGCCTGCCCCCAAGCCTCCCCTTCTTCCCACACAGCACCCAGCCCCGCCAAGGTGGGACTTCCCCACCCAGAGCCACCCCCTTTGTTTAGATTCATTACTGGCAACTGACTACCTTTTTACTTGACATGGAGTCAAAGACCCCATCCACAGAGTCCGTGACGGTGGGTCCCGGGAAAAAGTGATTGGCTTCGTGGGGAAACATGGCGATTTCATTCTGACGGTACATCCTGTGGTGGCGGAGTCTGCACACCCACTCCTCAAAGACGTCCAGTGACTTCACCTGAATTGTGTTCAGTTGAAAGGAGGAAACGAGAGTGTCACTCACTGAAAGGAACCATTCTTCACCAAGTCAAGTTCACTCTCGACACCCTCTTTGCACACTGGCACGTGCAGAAATGTAGAAAGATCAGCTTATTGACTTAGTTTACATTTGTGTGATCTATGGGAACAAATCAGAGGGGGAAACGGAGAGTAAAGACGGTCTTCATAAACTATATATTTAGGCCATCTATGAAAGGGTCCAAACGTTATGCTATTATTAAGAAAGCAAACCAGTGTGAGTTATATTAGACAACTAAATCTGAAGTTCACATTCATACGTCTCCAAGCATTTCCAAGTCCTCGTGTCCGAGCTTTTCCTCTCCCTGCTGAAGATACGAGCGCCCTATTTCTTTTCAAACTCTTTTATAATGAGGACATTTCAGATTAATCTTCTCTGAACTGGAATTAGTAAATTCTTCCTAAAATACTTAACCATGTTAATCTTCTCTGTCAAAGAATACATTGCTGAGGAATACATGTTAGTACATGTGAAGGTTACTTAAAAGAACATTTCTCCTGCTCTCAGAAACAGAAAAAGTCGGATAACTATTATTGGTGGTCTCCAGGATTTCTCAAACACACACACACACACGAACATTTAGCCATTCTCTCTCCATAGATGAGTATCTATCTATCAATGTCTAATTTCCATGAAGAATAATGTTTGTAAATAGTAACTTTTAGGACAAAATATTTCAAGTGTTCATAAAAGTATGACAAAGATTATAACGGACACCTATGCACCATATACATTTCTTAATAGTCCATATTTTTGTGTGCATATAAGGGCATATTAATATTTTCAAAGTGAAAAATGATATATATCTCTATATTGGAACACCAAGACTCATGCAGTGGCAATTTATAACACCCCAAAAGGATGCACAGTAGGTTAACTTCTAAAAAGAAAAATTCAGGTCAGTCCTGTTACAACCTTTACAGACGCCACCGCTGAGGGCAAGGACGTGGAAAGAGAGCTGTGAGCAGCATCGTTCACTGAGGAAGTATTCATTAGAAGTAGGTATGAGGCTCAACACCCCTCCAGGGGCTACTGAACGTGTACAGGAAGAAGCGACACCAGTGCTCACCTCTCTGTCTCCCCTAAATCATGTTTTTGAAGTATATTCATTTCCCAGATGTGGTTAACAGGCATCTACATCACCCTGAGCACTGATCTCCCCTCAGAGGCCCCTAACAATCAGTGCATCCAGGGTATTCATCGAGACTCACTGGGTACTGGTTGAACAGGGTAGAAGGATAAAAGCACTTAATTAAAGAACAGACCTGGGGTCTGTTTCAGCCCCTCAAGTAGCTCTAGGACTGTGGGTGGACAGCAATGAACTCTGCTGCCAGAGCCATCATCTATAAAATAAGAGAAGGGGATTGGATGAGCCCCTTTAAAAACTGCCTGCCTCTGAGGCCATAAAGTAGGAGCCTCAGATAACTACATAGACCTATACTGACAGTCACAGCTGATGTTCCAAAGAATGAATAAGAAACACAAATAGAACTTAAAGTGAATCAACGCAGAGAAGTATGAAACTGTGTTAATCATGATATTAAACACTTAATGTATCTTAAGGCATTCTAGTTCTTTAAACATTAGGAATTAATAATCACTTTTATTCGGTTAACTAGAATAGTGGATGAACAAGAACCTATAATTTCCCGACTGTGTCAAAACACAGAACTAGGAGCCATTGGAACTATGTGGAGAAACAATCTAAATTATTCTAAAGAAGATTGCCCATTTAAATGGGAGTGCAGAAAACATTCTTTCTTAAATCTTTCTTTTTTAAGATTTTATTTATTTATTTTCAGAGAGGGAAGGGAGGGGGGGAGAGAGAGAGAAAGAGAAACATCAATGTGTAGTTGCTGGGGACCATGGCCCGCAACCCAGGCATGTGCCCTGACTGGGAATCTAACCTGTGATGCTTTGGTTCACAGCCCACGCTCAACCCACTGAGCTACACCAGCCAGGGCAAAGCTGTTTTTTGTTTTTTTTTTTAAATGAAGATTATAGGTCTCTCCCTTCTTTAGTTCACACTAGTTGTTCTCAACCAGGGGTGATTTAGCCCCTCCCCCCGAGGGACAGGTGGCGATGTCTGGAGACATTTTTTGGTTGTCATAACTGGAGGGGGTTGTTGGTGACATCTAGTGGGTAGAGGCCAGGATGCCACTCAACATCCTATAAGGCGCAGGATTGGCCCCCACAGCAAAGAATCCTCCAGGCCACCGGGTCACTAGCACTGAGGGTAAGAAACCCTGCTTTACACAGTTAACTGCACCCACAGGCACAGGCGTAGGCTGGGAAACAGAAGGGCCTGACTGTCTTGTGCGGTCAGTCACTCACAGGCACGCGCTGGGTGCATCTGCCCAAGCACTGCATGTACGCGATGGGGAAGGACATCTAAAGACACGGAGTTCAGAGTCCCGTGCTTTTACTCTCCCAGCACTCAGCCCCCATCACCGACAGTCCAGACAACGCGGCCAAGTGAGAAAAGAGTTCTAACATTTTCTCAATTTCCATCATTTGGGTGCCACCAAATAATTACACACAATAACTGAACTTATGGAGATTACTGTAGGCCAGGCATTATATCAAGCTTCCTACTTGAATAATTCCTATTTTGGGTGGTGAGAAAACTGAGACTTTCAGAGATTAAATAATTTGCCAGAGGCCAACAGCTAGTAAGTAAGCAGGCCAAGGATTGAACCAGATCTGAATCCACGGAGTTCTCGTTTCACTCTTTCAACCATCTCTACTACCTGCAGGACAGAGGGGCAGCGGGAGTCAAGCAGCGCCGAGAGCTACTATTTAGAGGCCCACACTTTAGGGGGGAAATTCTTAACATTCAATTTAATATGAGCATTTTAATGGATCCATCTAAAATTAGCCAAAACTATAGGACTAAATATTAAATAGTACATTTCAAGGAACACAGCTTAACCTACAGTAAATGGTTCTTGACTAAAGATGGCACCCTCCAGGGCAGGGCACCCTGTATTTGGAAACATGACGCTCTGGTTATTGGTCACTGCCACAGTCACGGGGAGTGAGGGGAAGGACGCTAAACCTTCAGCAGCGTGACAGTCCCTCACAACAGGGCCCGTTAGAAATACTTTCACACTGAAGATCTACGTGTTGGCCAGGTGTTTGGAAATATTGAAAAGGCATCACCAGCAGCCCCCTATGGCAACAGGAAGGAACTCTGCAATGGGAGCTGGCACCCGGCGGGCGGCCTCACCTTCAGATGGTAGATGTGCTCCTCTGTGTCCAGATCTATGCACTTGGACGACTTCTTCACAGACATCACCGAAAGCCCAACGTCAATGCAGCCATGCAGCTTCTCTCTCTCTATCTGCAGAGGCAGGAAGCGGTCACTTGAGAGCCAGGTGTTAAAGTGACCGTAACACCCTTGACACTCCTTCCCTCTACCGTTACCTGCACACCCACTCGCAGCAACCCTAAGAACTGCGGCGTATCGAGTGTTTAGCGTGGACCAGTACTGAGCTCTGAGTGCCGTGTGTGTGCCACCTTATTTGCCCTGTGAGGGGTGATGTAACAAGGGGTTTACACAGCCACTGAGGAAGAAGGTGAGCCCCGTGGACTGACCGCACAGCAGCGAATTTACCTTCGACTGCACTGCCTCCCGCAGAATCAGCTTCCAGAGTCTGAATTCATGGGGAAGTGATTTGAAAAGAGGAATGGGGCCAGGGAGCCAAGACAAGCTACCTCGGGCCTGACGTTAGGCCAAGCGTTCTGCACACAACCCTTCAGGACGAGCACCTCGAGGCGAGGGGGGCAAGGAGAGGAAGGAGGGGGGAGGGAAGGGCCTCCACGAGGGGCAGAACCAACAGTCCTTCCAAGCCCCCCTGCGCCATCTGCTCAGAGTCAACACCAAAGGGGAACTCCGCGTCACCTTCACCAAGCGTTCTCCGCCAAACCCCTCAGTCACTCTAACAGTGGGAGTGGCGCTCGCCCTGTGCTTTGTTCCTGTTCTCACTGCAGAAATGTCTTCTCCCACCCACAGAACTCCTCAGTGTGACCCTAAGGCCCGAATAGTCCCCTGGATACACAGTAGGGTGTCGAGAAGAGCCCCCCACCCCCACTCAGCAGGTAAACCGAGCCCACCTTGAACCCAGAGCCGGGACAGTGGGGCGCAGCCACCTCTGCTCCATGTGAAGGAATTATCACCCCTCTGGGGCCCCCAGGTCAGAGAAATGGAATCCACCCCCACCATGTGCACAATCCCGCCCGTGAGCTGACAGCCAGCCCTTCCAAATTCCCCAATAGCATGTCGGGTTGATACAGAGACTTACATCAGCTTGGCTCTTGGCATATTTCAAGATTCCTTTGTCCAGGTAGAAGAATCTCTGTGGGAAAGAAAGTGCAATTCAGGAAAACATTCCATTTAAATGGCCGCCCTTCCCTTGGTCCCAATTTTCAACTTCAAATTAAGTGCCTAAGAACTGTGTTGAGTGCGGTAGTCTGGGTGCAAATAAAGGTGAGGCCAAGGCCAAGGCCCGTGTCTTACCTTGTGCCAGCCTTTCAGGGGCCATTTCCGCTTTTTCAGCAAAAATCCTGTCTGAACTGGTGGCTCCTGGGTGTAATTCATCTCTCCCCTCAGTCCTTCTACCACTTCCCAGCTGTCCTGTTCCAACGAGAGAGTTCATGTTAAATGGCTGCCTTTGAAAGTAATAATGCACCCAGCGAAGGAAACTGTCAACAAAATAAAAAGACAGCCCACACAATGGGAGAACATATTCACTAATACATCTGATAAGGGGTTAATATCCAAAATGTACCAAGTACTTACAAAACTCAACAACCCAATTAAAAATCAGGCAAAGGACCTGAATAGGCACTGCTTCAAAGAGACATACAGATGGCCAATAGACATGAAAAGATGCTCCACATCACTAATCATCAAAGAGACGCATATTAAAGCCACCGTGAGATACCGTCTCACACCTGTCAGAATGAGATACCCTCTCACACATTTACCATCAGTAAATCAGCAAACAGCAAGTGCTGGTGAGGATGTGGAGAAAGGAGACCCTCATGCACTGTGCGTGGGAGTACAGACTGGTGTAGCCGCTGTGGAAAGCAGTACGTAGATACCTCTAAAAATTGAAAATGTATCTGCCTTTTGACCCAGCAATCCCACTTCTGGGAGTATATCTGAAAGACCCCAAAACACTAATTCAAAAGAACATAGACACCTCTGTGTTCATTGCAGCATTACTTACAATCACGAAGATATGGAAGCAGCCCAAGTCTCCATCAATAGATAAGTGGGTGAAACAACTATCAGACATTTACACAATGGAATTCCTCTTGGCCATAAAAAAAGAAGGAAATTTTACCCTTGGCTACAGTATGGATGGACCTGGAGAGCATTATGCTAAGTGAAACAAACCAGTCAGAGAAAGACAAATACCATATGCTTTCACCCATATGTGTAGTCTAACAAACAAACTGAACTAACAAGCAAAACAGAGACAGACGCATAGATGGAGAACAGATGACAGCCAGTGGGGGCGGGGTGCGGGGAGGTGAGGAGGCGGAGGGGTTGAGTCATAGGGAAAAGGGAGCCATGGACAACAGTGTGGTGACTGCTGGCGGGAGAGGGCTTTAAGGGGACTAAATGGTAATGGAAAAAATATAATAAAGATTATATATTTTTTTAAAAGAAAAAATAATAATGACACGAAGAAGTCCTTCATACTATCAGTAAATCCATTCAAGATGGAGAGTCTAGCTGGGTTTGTTGGGGAGAAGAGATTCAAATTTAATTTTTATACCATTCCTGGATTTTATGGACTTAATGCTGTAATTTAATGGCATCACGTTTGATTTTTTTTTTCCCAAAAAGCTCTTGGAAGGGAAAGTTTCTCTCTCCTTTGGTGCTCAAACCTTGGCAACCATGGCAGAGAGAAAAGATTTCACTGTTAAGTTCTATTTTTGTTCCCTTTGATATTATCGCACCGTCACTGTTTATTCACCACTAGACCTCAGTCTGAGTTTTAACCAAAAGCTACAGACATGAGGACTGAAGGAGGGGTAGGGTGACATGGGACTATGGTAAGGCTGCCTTACGAATTGGATGAAAAGGCCCAGCTGGTGCAGCTCAGTGGATTGAGCACGGGCCTGCGAACTAAACGGTCACTGGTTGGATTCCCAGTCTGGGCACATGCCTGGGTTTTGGTCCAGGTCCCTGGTAGAGGGTGCATGGGAGGCAACCACTTTCTCTCCCTCTCTTCCTACCTCCCTTCCCATCTGTCTAAAAATAAATAAATAAAATCTTTAAAACTATTAAAACAATGACATTTTAGCTGCAGGTTATTATCTTCAAATTCTAGGTATTTAAATATTGAAAATCCTGAAGCATCAAGAAAGTACTTTTGCAATAAGCATTTTCATCTTCTTCTAGCAATTTTGTTCCCTTCCCCCTTTCTATTTTTTCAGAAGCTTTCTGTTGGCCAATTATTGCTGTTGAGCTGTTTGCAATTTTGAAGATGTACAAACAGTTGTTACAATTAATCTCCCATTGTTGGCTACTAGGTTATTTCAACTAATTGACTGAAAAGGAATCTTAAAAAGGGATGCAAAAGAAAAACTAAAAATTCTGAAGATTTATTTTAAAATGCTTGACAATGCACAAATCATCACAAAATTATCCCAAGATAGACCAAAACTGGCAATACTTCAGTGGTAAGATAATGGACCTTTTGATTATTATTTATTTTCACATTTTTATTAGGATGTAATATACATACGAAATGCACAGATTCTAAGGGTACATACAGTTCAATGAATTTATATACCTATATCTTCAGTAACTACCATCCAGATCAGAGCGAAAGCATTTTGAACACAGGGTAACTAAGTTTTGACAAACTGTTACTGAGATATTATTGACATATAATAGATATGCAAGTTCAAGGCATACAATGTGATGATTTAATACACTACCACTTCCTCACAAAATCACCACTTTTTCTGTTGGTGGTGATGACATTTAAGATCTACTTTTCTTAACAGCTTTCGAGTATATAATGCAGTACAGTTATATACGGTCACCAGGCCATACATTAGATCCCACCATGCTATGTATACTTTCTAGTTCCAGGAAAGCAGGAACCTTTTCTGTCTTGTTCACTACTTAACAGAGCCTAGTATATATAAATATGTTAAACAAAGTAATGAAGCAATTACAATAGCTAACATTTATTAAGCATCAGGCAGTGTGCTAGTGACCATACTTACAATATTGCACTTCATCCTTGCACAGTTCTGTGATACTGAATTTATTAGTCTCCTTATTTTTTGAATAAGGAAACTGAGGAAAAGAGAATTAGATAACTTCCCCAGTGCTATAAAGCTGCCAAATGACTGCAAAACCTACATCTTTAATCCCTCTGCTCCATATGATAGCATAGTGTATATTCTACTGCAGTTCAAATACGTGACTTCCGATGAGCCAGAAATAAATGCCATAGGGCAGGGAAACAGAGGCAGGCAAATCCAGGAGGTGGCTAAGGAGTTAAGAAACAATGCCCTCTGGACGCTGACAAGCAAGGTCTGCCCCCCCACCCCGCCCCGCCCCCCAGACCTGCCACCACACCCACGGGGGCAGGGAATCTGGAAGCAGCCACATCTCAGCTCCAGGCTTCTTGTACATCTGAGCGTCTGCCCCATCTGCTCCTCAGCTGGGGACTCCCCTAACCTCTTCCGCAGACAGAACTCACTCACTCCTCAGCACCTGCACAAACCTCACTTGCATTGTCTTGTCTCCCTCACTAAAACTCAGTTCCACGGGGACAGGAGCTGGCTATGGTTTATTATAATCTCGCTACTTGGGACACAGGGGCCTTAATAAATACTTACCCAGTGAATGAGCCTGAGGAGCAAGGGAGAGCACAGAAAGGACCCACAAGGCCTTTAGTACAGTGTGCTGGATTGGGACGAATGGGTACTCGGGACAGAAAAAAGCCGAGATGCCCATTTCTCTCGGATAAAAGGGCTGGGTATCAGGGAGTGGCTCCACCTGTTTGTCACATCCCCAGTGACCAGGGAGTAGGACATGCACCTTGAGCTGAGATACACAGTACAGAGTGGACTTGGGCCCCTGGGGAGACCAAGGCCCTGCTGACTTAGCCCAGTGTGGCTGGGCCGATGTCCCATCCCGAGGGTGGCAGGCTTAAAGCTCACCATGGAGAGCCGGTGGGGAGAGAAATATGGCAGGGTGTGGGGGAAGGGGCATCTTAAGATTTTTGCTTGAGTTTAACTGAAGACAGTCTGGCACTGTCATCTGGCGTTAAATTCAGTCTGTTTTACTGAACATCTAAAAAATGCCAAATATAGAAAGAGACTTTGTGATTGGAAAGGCAGATAAGCATTTACTCATGCTCACGAGCTGGCCGAGTTCATCTCCATATTGCTGACTGCACTCGCTGAAAGCACTTCCTTCCAGCACAGCTGTTTTCCACAGTGCACCTCTCCCGGGCACCTCGCAGGCTGGGTTCTCAGTCACTGTCCTGGCAGCGACGTCAGAAATAGAAAAGAGTTTCAACTGTCATTCTCCCTGCAGCTTGAGTGTGATGGAAGGAAGTTTTGTGGTTGCCTCTATCTGCCGTGACTCAGAGAGTGAGTTGTTCTGATCAGTGGTTGAGTCTGTTTTTCAGGATTTTAGAAATCACAAGGCAAGACCCAACATGAAATCACATGGAGCATAACTTCATGCGTCTTCAGTTCGTCAAAGGCATTTTTGACCTTCTAAAGCCTCAGGATCATCAATATCACCTTTTACGATTGTACTATGGACACATGGAAACACTTGTCTGTAGCATTCCAGTTAATGCAATGACAGCTTTAACTTAGGTCAGGCCAATTCTGTACTTATATTTCAATTACTGAAATTTGCGATTGTTGCTCTTGCTACTTGTTTCTTCCTCAACTGACATTTTGTGACCACCAGTAGGCTCAGGTGACAGCAAGCAAGGGAACAAAGTAGTGGAACGTACAGTGGTTGTTCCTGTGATCAAACGCAGTGCTTCTCATACCGCAACGTGCACACCAATCACGGAAGATCTTGTCAAAATGCAGATTTCAGTGCAGCAGGTCTGGGGCAAGGCCTGAGCTTCTGCACCTGCACAGGTGAGCTCACTGCTGCTGCTGCTGCTGGGCCCCAGGCCCCCTTAGAGTAGCCACCCTTTAAGAGACTGGACTAGCTTAAGAATTAGGATTTGAGCCCTGGCTGGTATGGCTCAGTGACTTGAGTGCTGGCCTAAAAACCAAAGGGTCACCGGTTTGATTCCTAGTCAGAGCCTAGCCTGGGTTGTAGGCAGGGCCTAGCCTGGGTTGTAGGCTGGGCCTCCAGCGGCGGGGGGTGGCCACACATTGATGTTTCTCTCCCTTTCTTTCTCCCTCCCTTCCCTTCTCTCTAAACATAAAATAAATTCTTAAAAAAAAAAAAAGAATCAGGATTTGACTCAATACACTCTGAGGGCAACACTATAACTAATGGATAGGAGTTAGAAGGTCCTGCATTTCAGGTCTGCATAATGAAGGAATTGTCTGATTATTTAATAATTAGTGCTATGTAAAATTACAAAACTGATGTGGCTATCCAATAAAAGAGCAAGTCTC